GAAAATATAAAATTCCTTGTATAGCGTAACCCTAAGTTTAATTGTTTGAGATTTGTGGATATTTTAAGAAGACATATTTTTACATTTATATAATAACCATTGCAACCATACGTTATAATCTACCTGCGCATAATATCCCTAAAACAAACCTTCAAATTGAACCTAGGTAAAACTCCCACTACTAAATATTCCAAATAAAGATAAAAATAGGTCCTTTATTGCCGGGACATATAATTTCTAAGAAACATTAGTGGTTTCGTAAAAGGTGTGATACAGTCATTTCAATGTTTGATTGTCCATAGATTTTCTTTTGCAACAGAAACTTGTTTACTTTTATGTACGCGGTGCTCTGATGAGTCAACAAATTTCTATGTCAGTTTTCTATAGTTATCTGACATGAAGGAATCTAGTCTACAATACATTTAATATATATATATTTAATGTATACATTATATGCAATATAAAAATATCGGAGTTTCTACTTTGTTCGAATATACTTTTGCTGCTGTTTTACGAACAATTTAGTTTATTTAACTCCATGTGACTGTAACATTAAATAAAATGAATAGTTACTCAATTAGGTTATATGGTTTTTTACAAGAAAATAACAAAGGATTGATTATATAACTTTTGTAATGATTCGCTCGTAAAGGGTACTCGTTTCGAACCGTTTTAGCTACATTCTAAAGTGAGCCACTTTCAATGGCATTCCCCATGAGAATAACATGGAAGAAGATTAAAAACTTAGGAAAATGAAACTTTTCGGATTTTTTTTTTTGGTGGGGGGGTTACTAGACCTAAAACCACAGAAAATCTCAAGTATCTAGCTCTTCTAGAAGTGGTCTAGAATTTGTATCCCCTAGTTACAATTGTCTTTTTTATTTGCTATTCTACAAATTCAATAATTTTTCTCTTTGACAGCAGCTTAACAGACGCACAGGTAGCACTGCCTATGTCTGCTAGTTCCTTTGTTTTGTTGTTAACTATTTTGGCTTATTAAAACTCGTATGGATTTTTAGTGACAAAAGTCTCTGTCTAATGTATTTTATTTTATAATCACAGTTTGTAGCCAATGTTTTTTGGAATAAACTATATATTAATTCATTCATTCATACATAAGCGGCTGTGTGGTATTTAGATTCATCTACAGCATTAGATTGAAAACTTTGCGTTATAAAATCAAAGAGCTGATTAAATGAGATTTACAAATAAGTCGCTTTACTTGTGAAACTCCTTAAGTAAATCACGAGAGATTGAAATTCAGGCACTTAAGAACTGCCAGAGCGGAAAATCAATAAGAGGCTACTGACTTATTGACTTTAGAGGATCAATATACAATCTGATCACATCGGCAAACGTTTTACGGACTGTTCAGATAATCAGTTTCCTTTCTGATCCCTATGTCACAGGCTCAACTAACTGTTTAGTTGATCAATATCCAATCTGATCACATCAGCAAACGTGTTACGGACTGTTCAGATAATCAGTTACCTTTCTGATCTCTATGTCACAGGCTCAACCAACTGTTTAGTTGATCAATATACAAACTGATCACATCGGCAAACGTTTTACGGGCTGTTCAGATAATCAGTTACCTTTCTGATCCCAATGTCACAGGCTCAACCAACTGTTTAGTTGATCAATATACAAACTGATCACATCGGCAAACGTTTTACGGGCTGTTCAGATAATCAGTTACCTTTCTGATCCCAATGTCACAGGCTCAACTAACTGTTTAGTTGATCAATATACAAACTGATCACATCGGCAAACGTTTTACGGGCTGTTCAGATAATCAGTTACCTTTCTGATCCCAATGTCACAGGCTCAACTAACTGTTTAGTTGATCAATATAAAAACTGATCACATCGGCAAACGTTTTACGGACTGTTCAGATAATCAGTTACCTTTCTGATCCCAATGTCACAGGCTCAACTAACTGTTAATTGATCAATATCCAATCTGATCACATCGGCAAACGTTTTACGGGCTGTTCAGATAATCAGTTACCTTTCTGATCCCAATGTCACAGGCTCAACTAACTGTTTAGTTGATCAATATACAAACTGATCACATCGGCAAACGTTTTACGGACTGTTCAGATAATCAGTTACCTTTCTGATCCCAATGTCACAGGCTCAACTAACTGTTTAGTTGATCAATATACAAACTGATCACATCGGCAAACGTTTTACGGACTGTTCAGATAATCAGTTACCTTTCTGATCCCTATGTCACAGGCTCAACTAACTGTTAATTGATCAATATCCAATCTGATCACATCGGCAAACGTTTTACGGGCTGTTCAGATAATCAGTTACCTTTCTGATCCCAATGTCACAGGCTCAACTAACTGTTTAGTTGATCAATATACAAACTGATCACCGTGTCAAAGGTTCCGATTGTTCATAGGATCAATATACGATCGATTTGATAATTTTGTAATTAATAGTGTAAATCAGTCAAAACTGAATCCAACAACTACAAGAATCATTCATTTTATTGGAGAAAAGTTATCAGACGAAAATGTATTTATTCATTATAACTATAATAATGATAATGCAACAGCAATATTTTAGCAATAATATGAATATTACCATTCAATGTAAACATAGATATCTATGTATTTGTGATTACATAGTAAATAGTCCATGTGATGTTTCTGTCTATAATATTAAAACGAAACAGTGTTTTTTTTATTTCACGATTCTGAATCAACCACTCAACGGATTTTCATGATTTTTGTGTTGAAAGAAAGATAATTTTGAGAACTAGGGAATGTCGAAGCCATAATTTTAGTTTAGGGCCCCAGTTATTTAGAAATTAAGTTTTAATTTTTGAAAAGTCTAGCAGCCGACGCTAAGATTCTAAACTAGCTTTTGGTATAATATAATTTGTTTAACATAACAGCTGTAAACATTCAGCGTTTGTAACACAAATTCAGCATTTGGATAAAATTAAAATACACACTAAAGGTTGACTTATTTATACTATGTGTAATGCTAATCATTTATACGTTCAACCCTTCGATAAGAGGACGACAGATTAATTAAATGTACATAGTAAAATACTAGGATGTTCAAAGGATTTTTAAAAATTAATCTTTGTAATCTTCGGTTTGTTTTAGTGCAATATAAATTTCTTTTAACTAACAGCTGGCTAAATACAAATGCCCAATAGAACTATGAGGTTATTTTATTTACTCTGATTTTGTCATTGATTATAGGAAATAAGTAAGATTAGTAGACCACCGAGATAAATAACACCATCAATGTATACAAGTCGAGGCTCTGTACAAGAGTCTTAAAAAAAGGATATGCAAATTATTTTACTGCTCAACTTTTTTTAGGAAAGGGTAGGAAAATCCATTTTTACAAGTTTTAATTCATTTTCGTAGCACTTTGTTTGCAATTAATGTTTTTGAATGCTTAAACTTTGTTTGGATTAGGCCCGGAAATATTGATGTCATAAAGATGGAGATCAAGAATCCTCAGGAATACGATTTTAAATTACCACCACAACCTCTGACGGGTTTATCCAAAGATATACAGATGAATGGCATAGATTGAGCACAACGTCATCATTGACCTAGGATACTGCAATTAGACTAACCACCCTTTTATGAAATCTAAAAAGTTGTTTGGCGTGTGTTTAGTTGTGGTTACGTTTGGAGGCACTGAATATTTTATAGTTTAAATAAATGAATATGGGGAATTACGGTGTGCATTGATTCAATGAGGGTGGTTTAATTATTAAGGATATTAGAACTGATAACGGAATGGATAATAAACATTGACAATTAATTACGTCACTAGCTTTACTAGCGTGTTTTACGTTTTAAATTCCTTCAACATGTGACCAGTTCTTTTGTTCAAATGAATATTATTTTATTTTTGACTTAGCTGTTTACCAAAACAAACTATATGTTGTTCTTTTTACTTTTCTTTGTTTACACTTATTTATTTAGCAATTGTTGCAGTGAAATTGATATAAAGGATACGAGGTGTTATCCCGTCCTACGTACGGGAATTCAGTAGTCACTTAAAACCGTGTACAATTCAGATCAGCTAGTTTACACAAATAAAGGTAAATTTTCTTGCAGTTTTAATGTGAAGAATCATCTTGTAAACAAATTTTGTGTTACCAAATATGTTTCTATTCCATCATAGGCCTATACGATAATATGCATTTTAAATCCGATTATTTTACAATAAAACAGCAATTCTGCAATTTTTACGATGTGAAAAGCATTGAAGTGAGATTTGCAGCCGATTCGCACAGACGCACACTGATTATAAGTAGCCTACGGTAGAGAGAAATAGTCAATTGAGAAGTGTATAGACCTAGTCAACGATACCCCCTTCCGATTCGTTTAATGATGTCAGGACACCAACGTTATAATTATGTGTACTGTGAATTTTATTGGATGTTTTTGTTTTATTTTAGGGAGTTTCTATTCAGACCTACTGGAAATTGTGTATAGTATGAGTAATTGTATTGTGTTGATATTGATTATGGAAGAGGCAGGTATGCGATGGAATTGGAAGGTGATATAGTTGACTAGGCCTATACACTTTCTCAATTGATAATTACTCTTTCTACTGTAGGCTGCTATAAAATTTGTCTTTATACATGTAAGCTGGCTGTTCTGATATACACAGTTTTAACTGACTACTCCCGTACGTAGGACGGGCTAACACCTCTTTTCTGAATAAATTGATTTATTTGTTTTGAATACTGTTGAAAACAATATAGCATAGTAATTATTGAATCCAACGTTTATTTCAGTATTAAATCTTTTTCAGGTTGTTAGTCAAATTAGATTTGTTTCCATTATTTTTATATATTTTATATTGATGTACATACCAAAAGATTTTTACAAGATTTTTTAAGAGAATAGTCCAAACTGTAGTCAGTATTCAAATTCTATATTGCTAGAAATTATCATGAATTATAAAAATGTAATGGAAGTTTAACATTATTTTCCAGAATAACAAATATGACGTATAAGATGAAGTAAGACATGATCGAGATGAATTGCTCTGATGAAGAGGATATTTACCAGCTGGGCGACAATGAGACAACCAACCAGCTGATTGATCAGCTGATTAGAGAGTTCAGCAAGGCTCAGCTGAGGTACAGCGAGGTTCGCCATATCGTGCTGATAGCTTGCTACGTACCACTCTTCCTGATAGCTGCTGCTGCTAACTCTCTTATCATCATCGTCGTCTTCAAGTACCACTATATGCGCAGGTAAAAATATCATCAATTACCACTATATGTGCAGGTAAATATAATCAATAACCACTATATGTGCAGGTAAATAAAATATCTTCACATTCTACATATATGTGCAGGTAAATATCATCAATTACCACTATATGCTCAGGTAAATATCATCAATTATCACTATATGCGCAGGTAAATACAGTATCACCAATAACCACTATATGCGCAGGTAAATATCACCAATTACCAATACATGCCCAGGTAAATACATAAAATGCTACCTCTTACTAAAAATGGCAATACAGGGTGTTCAAAATAAACAGAATAAAGAATAAACAGTTTCTCTAATTGTATTTAAACAGCTCTGAATTTAATAGAAAGAGCAATCAAATTTTATTGTGATTTACTTGAGTATTTAAAGGATATTCCAACGCCGTTGTGACTGTTCAGCGAAACTTACTCCAACGTAGTTACGACAAGTATCATTTCAGATTTTTAAAACATTTCATTGAAAAGATGCAATAGTTTTATTTCTAGCAACCTATGTCACACAAAAAGCTATATTCTTGCTTCATTAAGAGAAATTTAATAAACAACTCTGTCACAGTTAATCAAGAGGCCAAGACTAAACACATCAGCATAAAAACCAAATTGTTAACACACTCTTACCAGTGTTAACTTTAACGGCTGTGTTAATCAAAACCAACAGAAAGTACACAATAATTATTTTAACAACTTGTATGGTAATCATGTACGATTCTAAGCAAATTGGTAAAAAAATTGGAAGCTAAAATTAATTGGTAAAAGTTATGAAATGCCACCACATACACGATTTTAGAAATTTATATGATTACTAGCTGGCGCGACAAACGTCGTCCTGTCCTAATGTGGTTTTATGTCAAATGCTCGTTTATTTTCAAGATGAGCTCGTTCGCATGGCTCAATCACGTCCTGGTTGAAGTTCAATTTGCTACGCCTACTCACCTTTAGGCTGGAGCTCGTTCGCTGCACTCACTTGCCTTCAGGTTAGCTCGTTCAATACGCTAACTCGCCTCCAGGTTGAAGTTCGCTCGCTACGCTCACTCACCTTTTGGTTGCAAATTAGCTGTTGTCATAAATAAAAAAAAAATAATAATAATGCTGCACTCTGTTGGTAAACCTATTAACTTTGTAATGCTATTGAACATCACAGAATCAAATCGTTTAGTTGAACGAGCTGTTAAGATTCTTTAATTCCATTTTGATATGAGTACTCATAATGATAACATGGGAAATTCCAGAGCCACTGGGGCGGAGCCCTTTTTACGGATCTGCACCAAACTTCACCAAAACCATCCTTGAAAAATGCTTAATAATGCCCGAAAGTTTCATTACAATATGTCGAGTGGTTTCGGAGTCCAGAAAGGACAAAGAAAGAAACAAACAAACGTACATTGAATTTTATATACAGGGTGAAAAAAGAGACCCCCTTCTAATATTATTTCAAGTAAATATACAGAGATAGCCTTTTGGTGGTCGTGCAATCTTAGCAGGAAGTTTTATTTTATGATTTTGAAATTTATGAGTGTCCCAAAAGGGGGGGATTTGGGGGGCAAATCAAATAGTTTAAATGTAAACCCCCTTCAAGTGACACCTAATTTTAAAGTGTTTACAAAAACTTAAACAATGGTGAAAACTAGAGGTCGCTATCTATTCTCTATCCAAAATGGTAGCCCGTAAAATGTTGTAGAAAATCAATGGTAAAATTGGTTCGTAATGGTAATATTGGCTACCATTTTGGGTAGAGAAGAGATAGCGAACTCTGGTTTTCACCATTCTTTAAGTTTTTGTAAACACTTTAAAACGAAGTTTCACTAAATGGGGGTTTACATTTAAAGTTGTTGAGTGTCCCCCCAAAAGGGGGGATTTAAAAAAAATTTCAATGTAAACCCCCATCAAGTGACACCTCATTTTGAAGTGTTAACAAAAACTTAAAGAATGGTGAAAACCAGAGTTCGCTATCTCTTCTCTATCCAAAATGGTAGCCAATATGTACCAAATCCCCCCTTTCTGGGGGATACTCAAAAATTTCAAAATCATAAAACGAAACTTCCTGCTAAGGTTGCACGACCACCAAAAGGATATCTCTGTACATTTACTTGGAAAAATATTAGAGGGGGGGGGGGGGTCTTGACTTGTTATTCACCCTGTATATAGATTTCAAATTTTGCAGTCAGGTGTAGCGATGTAATACGAACGCATATAAATAATCAAGTGCCACAACATGCACAGGTAAAAATAATCAAGTATGTGATAATCAATGGTAAATATAACCAAGTACTTACATTTAGAGATATAATCATTTATTGATATATGCTGTGCAGCTCTTCAAACAATGGCTTTGGTTTAACTATCAAATTATAAAAATGACTTTAATATTTAAACTCATTCTTAATATGGCGTGTTTAACTACTCATTTTGTCGTATTTATTATAAATAATATAAATAATTTTAAGAATTTGTAAGATCTTTTATTCTATAAAATTGCAAGTTTATCGGAATAAAATTCTTAATCCTTACAACGAACTCGATTTATTTAAAAATATTGTGAATATTTTCCTGTAAAACACATATTTGTAATTGTAAACACAAAAAAATATTCATTTTCCTGTTGTATTATTAAGGTCAAAAGGTAAAGAAAACAACTGAGTTTGTTTTGTTTCGTTTCTTTGTAACATGACATATTACCTAGAAGTGCAAAGTATGAAAGTAACTACACAAAGGTATACGGTAATCTTTGTGAATTTTATAATGATGACGTCATTACAGTGTCCTTGGCTCTCATATGTTTTTCTTTGCAGTATTCTTATAAACAGATTTTATTATAAAATACGTTTACGTCTCAAAACTTATTTTACATAAAACATTTCTTTATATGAAAACGAAACACATAATTTAAGATTTACGTTAGTTTATCAGACAAACAGGAAAAAATATTAGTTAGCATTACTGGATAAAATCTTTTAGTAAATCGGCTTGGAATCATAGTTTATGTTTTCAAATAAATAATGTTCTCGAACAACAATTCTGTTCGACACATTAACCACGCCCTATCTAAAGGTCACAGGATAACGTTTATGCAGATCTGGTTTTCGCCGATATTCTTTTAAACTAATGGCCTTCAGAACTATGTGCTACTTGATAGGGGTGTTGTATTTAAACAAATTTAAGTCACTCCTAGCACCCCTATTCACCCCAGCAACCCCTATTTGGGAGTGGGGGGGGGGTGAATTTCAAAACACCCCCAAAAAGTACTTTACATTTCCCTAGTAACGTGTATCAAAGGTCGTTTGAATATATGCAGCCGTTTAAAAATTAACAGCAGGGGCTATCATGGGAAACCCGGTATATATAATGCATAACCCAAAATAGAGGGTTGAAATGGGGAAAATTAATTTTCACCCCGTAAACCCCCCACCGCACCCCGATCAATGTGTGATCATACTGGTTTGCGAACTCGGTCGAATTAAAGTAGGTTTTGTACCAAATTTCAACAAAATGGCAGGCACTTTTTTGTGAAACTATGACTACAGTACGATCCACGAGAGTCTGCAGTTGAGGGAGGAGCCTATTTACCACGTAAGGAGTCAATGAGGACCGCACGTTGTTCCAAATCTAATAATACCAGCTGATTTGAAAGCATTGTTTAGTATATTTTTATTTGTGTCGTCATCAGAAGATATGGCATCGTCGCACTAGCCCTGTCTTGTAATCACAAGGCTGACCCCAACTGCAGTCTCTCGTAGGCCCTATATGAATATGAATTGAATGGGGTTTTTTGGCCTCTGGATACCTCAAAACGAAAACTAAATCGGTCCCGGGATCATGTACCTAGTTCCTGTATGGAATATTCGATGAAAAAAAGTATTAATGTTTTGTTCTACTTACAGTGTGACCAACTACTTCTTGGTGAACCTGTCAGTAGCAGATCTTCTGGTGACGTTTATCTGTATGCCGATGGCTGTGGCTCAGTCCGTCACGGGACTTTGGCTCTATGGGGAGACTATGTGCAAGCTGACGTCATACTTACAAGGTATTGTAAGAAATCAATGTCAATGTCTGTACTATAATTGATTTATTATCCCTAGCAGATTTGCTGGTGGCTTGCTCGAATCTTTTTAGATACTTGATGTACGGAATCTCCGAAAGAAATCACTATGAAAGAGACTGCTCCGAAATAGAGACTCTACTCCGAAATACAGGCACTACTTAGAAATGCAGGCACTACACCGAAACACATGCACTACTTTGAAATGTAGGAAAAATGTAGGCACTACTCCAAAAGACTTTGTACAGGTGAACGAAATGGGTTGATCCGAAAATCACTGCTTTGAAAAATTAACACGATCCTATAAGCCACTCTGAAATGTGGTGTGTCGTCCTGTTTTTCCTAGATTTTTTTGTTTTTTTTTTAATACTGTGCCTTACAACTGGATCAAGCACTACCTTGCAATCTACGTTTTATTCTCATACCGCGCACTTTGGCAAGTTACAGATTAAATAAACGGTCTGACATACTTTCTCCCATTAGTCAGTCAAAAACCTTATAATGGGTGAGCAGTAGGAGTAAATATGATATTTTATGAGTAAATTATAGAAATTGCAATAAATTTGTAATTTTTATAAAATTGGGGGTTTTATTTTGTTTAGAATTGGAAGTACCGCGACACACTAAATTTGATTGAAAATCGACAACGCAGTTTTGTGAGAATAAGATTTTTTATTACTTTATGGGGTTTTATGGAAATAAAAAGTAAAGTAAATATCAAAATTGCAAAGGTGAAAAGAAACCTGGAGATACAATAAACTAATGTAGTACCCACATACCTAATTTTAACAAAACCATTCCACAGGTGTGGTCTATAGGCGTAGGGCTCAAAACTCAAACTAAAATATTTTGTGAAAACAACACTTTCCCAATATAGGCCTAACACTTCATAATAATTTCTGAATCAGTAGATTTAAAAGTGCGTTGCTATTATTTGACGCCTAAAACAAAGTCCTTAGACTGTAATTCGATTAATAAAATATCGAAACGCTTATTTTAAATTAAATTGAAAAAGTTTGACGGAGAATAAAAATGCCTGCAGTTAAATTTAATTAACCATGATGGAAACTTAAAGTATTAGGCTTAATGTGGCCTTCGCTTATTGCCTATAAACCCGTAAGGCCGATAGATGTTTACTGGCTAAAGTAAATTACCAAACGCCAATAAAACATTTGATTTCCACTTTGCAAAGATGAGCTGACGATTAATGATTACGTTAAAGATATTCAGACTTTAGACATAAATCTGGAAGAAAATAGTTTATTGAATCCATAAACTATTAAGCTAAAAGTACAACTAACTAGGTAAAGACTAGTAATATGCTTTGTTTTTTTCTTTGAGAGAAATCTTTTACACTACATTCCATATTTATTTCATCATGGGTGAAGAATACAATCAATTGATAGTATTATAAGAGCAATATAAATATTGTTAGGAATAGTTTATTTAAAGGTACAAAGATAAAAGATTATTGTAAAAGGAAGAAGTGTGAAGAGATTATTTTAGTACGATTTGATTTGCATAAAATATTTTTATCAAAGCGAGTAACTGACTAAAATAATTTTCACACAAGCGGTGTATTAATAATATATTTTAACATAATATGATTTAAGACCAGTTAAGTGAATACACAGAATAATATTATTTCCTCGGAATGAAATATGTTTAGCGTTAGCCAACCGAAACAAAACTACAATGTCAGCTCCTCAGGCATGATTTGAGAAAATATATACACAGTAGTGACTTTCTCAAAGGAAAATTATTGCTGATTTCCCATACAAATGCAATGATCTTTTTGGTTAACGTTATGTTTAGTTTTTTTTTTTTTGCAATTCCATTATGCCCCACTAAAATACCCAGTTTTGCAATACACTTTACTGTTTGAAAGTGTAAAATAGTATATTTCGTACCTAGGGCCGAAAATAAGGTTTTGCCAGCTCGAGATAGTTTTTACGATCGAGAGCTGCAAAATTATTTCGGTCCGTGGTATGAACGCTATTTTTCACCACACTATACCCTATTACGTACAGTATTAGTTTGCACAAGTGAACTGATTTAATATGCATTCGTGTTTTAAGAAAGTAAGTGGGCAGCTGATTTTGCGGCCCTAGGGATATAAAAACCTGCTAGGTCCTCAAATGACGTTGACAGCTGGCATGACCAGCAAAACGTAACTTTCAGCGACCAATTAACGTATGTAAAACAGCTAAAAACCTCATAGTGTGGTGAAAAAGGTTTTTTGGGGGTCTTGGTTCTTAAACACTAAACTACTCAATGTGTTTCATCCTCGTTTAAGAGCGGTAATTCGTTTTTTTTTTACTAGGGACAAATTGATGGATATTCAATAAACCAAAGTGGTTATACTTTTTTCCACGAATGGATTGAAGTATGGTATGTCACAATACCCAATATAAACCTTCCCTACAAATAAATATCTCTTGTGGTAGGCTTACAGTTTTCATACGTTTGCAATCACTACTGAAACCTGAATATCCTTAGGCCTCTTTTATGCACGGCGTTTTCCGTCGGGCGGAATCTATCAGAATCTATCGGGCTTTCCGTCGGTGAGTGTTTTAACATGGGATCAAATGGGACCCTTTTAGGCCTCTTTTATGCACGGCGTTTTCGGTCGGGCGAAATCGTCGGGCGGAATCGATGTCCCTTTTATGCAGTTTCTCCGCCGAGCGGAATCCGCTGATGCCCGTGGTGGGGGTGGTTAGTGCTACCAACTTCGTTCATTTTGCCATCGTCAGTGACCCAAGATGGATCCTTGTGTATTGGAGTATACTTATTTGTACATGAAGAGATATAGACGACGGCGAAGGAAATGGGCTGTACACCCGGTTAATGAAAGTCGTAGGGTGGATGGGGCTTTCACAAACCTATATGGGTTGTTGCGAAATGATGGAAATATACAAAAGAAACAATTTTGTATATTGAAGCATTGTTGTATGCCAAATGGTTACGGAGTTAATTAATGAGGTAAATGGAGAAGGTAATGGAGAATAAATAAACTGTTGTAGTTTCCTTGTTTATGGATGTATTTCAACCAAATTTGGAATTTTTGTTTATTTCATATGAAGCTATCAAATTGCTATAAAAAAAAACACCTCAATATCTTCCCTGTAGCAGCAAACCTAAGTACTCACTAAAAATAATGTTTTTAAATACGAAATAAATATGACAATTTCTAGGGAATAATTTTAGTAGAAATCCAGCCAGGTAAATGGAAATCTGCTTAGTCTGCAGGTATGCTGCAGCGGGGGTATTGTAGTTTTGCGATTTGGAAAGTCGTTCTGGAAATTTTACGTAAACCCAGTTTAAACAACGGTTCTCGTTAACGTCCACTATTCATAGACGTGTTAATTGACACGTTGGTCCACTGTTTGCGTTGCCTGTTTAATAATTGTGCACATTCCAAGTATAGTCTCCATTGAAGTTTATGAATTTAGCTACTGAATCTACTGTTGACTTTAAATATATTTTTAAATTTTTCGTTTACAGTACAGTAGTTAGAAGGAAATTAAATGATCAGTGGTTAATAATATACAATTTAAGTTTTGCTTGACTAAAACACTAAAAGGTTCGAAAGAAAGAAGGTGGCATATTATAGCAGTATACGTTAATGGTGGCTTCATATTATTATTTCTTTACTATAGATAAATTATTGTATGTTACAAATTTTCGAGCAAGAGTTTTGGGTGGAAATATCCGTTTTTTCCCTCCCCCCAAACCCAAAACAGCTGTTTCCGAACTTAATAATATGTCTGTGTATGGATGTGTACAGAGCTGCGGGCTACGCCTATGGTCTGATTTTGACGTAATTTAAAAGTACGGTTCAAAATTTATAGTTACTCCATCCGCATGCCCATAGCAAAGGCTATACGTTTATGTACGGCTATGCTGATACGTTTGTATTTTTGTCATGTGATCAGAATAAGATAAATGCGAACCCTCATCTTGGAAATCCATAACACTTAATCCTAGATTATTAAATATTTTATTTTGTTATATTTAATATTATTAGATATTTATATATCCATACAGGGTGTCCCAGAACTCTCTACCAATATTTTAGGGCATTGCTCCTGGGTAAGAAATATACCTAAATATCATATTTAAATTGTCCAGAGGTCCTTACTCACACAGCCGCCATTTTGTTTTTTTAGTTATTAACTTTTTTTAAAAGAATGGTTTAACATACGAAATGGAAACTTTGCATAAACATTTATGACAACTAGAAAAAGCTACCAAAAAATTCTGAAGATTTTTCAAATCCATAAAACAAAATGACGACCCTTTAAAACCTTGTTTCTTCAATAACTGGAAACCCGTTGATTTTACAAAAGATTTACATGAATAACTTTTTTTAGGCAATTCCACTACAAATTGATTGACACCTTATTTTTTAAGTTCGGACAAGTATTAACTGAGATATGGCAGTTTTAATGATACGTGACCAATCTCAGCATGCAATGCAACTAACCTCTAGCGGTATGAGTAACTAAGGACTTCCGGACAATTTAAATATGATATTTAGGTATTTTTTCTTACCCAGGAGCAATGCCCTAAAATATTGGTAGAGAGTTCCGGGACACCCTGTGTATATATCAATTATTGGTTATTGTGTTTTAGTATCATCAAATAACCTAATTAATTATTTCAGGTGTTAGCGTAGGAGCCAGTGTCTTCACCATCACCGCTATGAGCATAGATAGATACTTGGCTATCCGACATTCTATGGCATTCAGAAAAGTGTTTAACCGCAAGTCTACAATATATGTGAGTGAAGCCCAATTGTTACATTGAATGTTTTTATCTGTGATGTTTTATAGTCTGCCTTAGTGTACTAATTCAGTAAAATGTGTTATGCATGTATGTAAAGATTGAATAAAAGCCCTTAGTTTTAGCTTCATAGATGTTCTTTTTTAACCATAGCCTCCTTTATTATAATTCCCCAGCGTGTTAAAGTGGCAACGCCGCAGCTCCGGCCTACTAAAACAGCTGTTGCACTTATTTATACGTCTGTGCGATGTCGGCCGGTGCGACGTTGCCAAACGCCACGACCTTCCGATGTATCAGTCAGAGGTCAAAGTTAGATCATAAATATTTCAAATGAAATTAAATCTAGAAACTTGAAACATTTTGAAGAAAATTTAATGTAACAGGTATCGTTATTTTTTTCTCAACTCCTAGTGCCCAGCTCTGGTTTTTTTGCACCGCGGTTTAAGTTCAGAGTAAATTTCTGTTGACGTTGAAAATAATGTTTTTCTATTTACACGTAACTTAGATGTACAAAACGAATTTAAAAAAAACGTACATTCTTTTTATGCAAAAGAAAATTTACGCTTAGCATTCCTCCAGCGTTTAAATATACAAAATTATAACTCTGGAAGTTGAAATTTAGTCATCACTTTCACGTAACAGCCTTTATCTATGCAAACTTAACCGATGGTGAACTAATGAAAAGGGCTTTAATAACTAACAAGCCAAATTGGTACTACATGACTCTTTGTATTAAGTCTGTTTGATTGGCATGGGAATATTACATAAATGTTTTACTAATGTCGCATTTTAAAATTTTCTTTTTACTGACGTATATGTTGTCAAAATTGAGTAAAACATTCACTAAAGCTGGTCAATATACAGAGTGTAAGGGAAAGATTATACAGTTTCATACTTAAGTCATACCGTTAGCCTACTTTTTATGATACGTTGTTCGTTGGTGGCTACAACCATAGACAAAAAGAATATAGACGGTCAGCCTTGCTGCGGTTAGTATTGGTTCTGGCGCACACCGCTGGGAGTGCCATGTAGTTACTGCTTACGTGCTACGTAAATACACGGCGCTTCCAGTGTATATCTGTAGCCCTGGCTCCCAGTGGTGTGCTCCAAAACCTATGGTAACCATCTTAACCTCGGCACGGCTGACAGTCTATATTTAATTCTTTTTGTATATGCTACAACCAACACCAAGTTTGCTTATATGAATATAGATTAATCAAAATGATTGCCTATTCAGTGGAAACCCATTTTGCTTCACGTAACGCAGTATATAGGACAAGGTGCTAACAATTTGTTGTGCATACATTTTAATAACATTGGATTTTAGTTTAAGTATGACACTTATGAAAAGACATTTTGTGCAGTCAAACTTTTAATGAGTTTACTAGTTATAGGAGATCTAAAAAGTTATATTACAATATTTTAACTTTCCTAACCGACCGTTTTCAAAAGTAAATTTCATTTATGGTCGGACATCACGTTTTTCGTCGGCTACACCACGCGTCCTCTTCAGTTTCTAACTAGGCCCAACATTAATTAATAATTTCGTGTTCGTATATGATTTGTGGCGACTCTTCACAACCACATATTAAGAGGATATTTTTAAAAATTTAAAATTATCCACGGATATTAGAACAGAAACAATGGAAATAAGTGACATCACTTGCCCGAAAGTAAACATGATTGTGTTAACTCATTGTTCTTAAATCAGTTTTGACGTTTGTTTGTTTTCACGTCCAGTGCCTTTGGATGACTGAAATCTGTCATCCAAAGGCACTGGACGTGAAAACAAACAAACATAAAAAATGATTGTTTTATTAATTAAATGGAAGTGTCAGGAAACTTCCAAACCAGCTGTTACAGTTGTATAAGACTCGGGCCAGTGACGTAATTTGTTTATGTTACCTACCTATAGAGTTTCTTCCTATCCAAGGAATCAAACTAAGATAGAACATGGTCAATTTACCGAAAAGATCACGCGGTACAACATACATTTTACCTAAATCACTACAAAATATATTAAAAAGGTAAATGTTGCACCAGATGATACTGTTGCTATGGGCGGTGTCCCTGGCCATATTCCTCCCCGTGTTGTGGGTGCGACAGACAGAGCTGGTGGACCTGGGGGATGATCCTCGGTTGTCAGCAGCCGTCAGGAAGTACAGTCTCACCTGGTGTATAGAGGACTGGCCACATCGCTCCAGACACTTCTATGGTGAGGGTATTCAAAACTTACATTCTATAGACAAGCCTATTGTGCTTGGACAAGTTTTTTTCATACATAGCAGGGGGTAGACTTCCGTATCTGTAGGCACAAACAACCGAATGAAACAATCGAATAATCGATATTTTCATTCTGTTGTTTGTACCAACAGATACGGAAGTCTACCCATAGCAGGGATGATTGTTGACATTTTCATTTACAATTTTCAACATTCTGGATCTGGAATCTAATCTAGTCCTTATGTGAAGAAGTTGCTAAACCATAACATAACTAATCTAGTTCACAAACCCACCAAAGGCGGGAAAACACAACACTCACTTTAGTTATAATGTAGTTTGATATAACAAGGAACTAAATCCCTGAAATGAAACAACAATTAGCACAAATAGAGGACAAGCGATCACAATGGACGCTTCTGCACAAGATGGGAGCTCTATGGAGACCTTTAGACGTCATGAATGTTTTTTTTACTCGTGATGGAAAAAGTATGAAATAATGCCTTAAACAAATTAATGTCCAAAAAAGAGTTTTGTTTATGAATTTTTTTGTTCAAGCGTAAGAACTAAAACTGAAATGAAGGTTGTAAAGTATTTTTCTTATCGACAGTTTAGATTTTCATTACAAATATTATAATTCACGATTCTAAAATGAATATTACACGATTAATAAATACTGACTTTCCGGCAGTTATATAGGGAAGAATAATCACAGGTTTGTTAAAGGCTACCAGTTCTTACTAAGTTAGATGTTAGGTTTTTTTCTAGTTGGCAGCTACTCAATTGCATGCATATCCCTCTTTGGCAAGAAACGCCCATAAAACGTATACAAACATAATAAAACAGATTTTCTGTTTTCCGATTCCCATATGTCGGTTTCCCTAAAAAATTTTAGAGCTTGTGTAATTGATCAAAGCTATTTGTAATATTCAAAAGCACATACAATATTACACTCAAAATAACTTGTCTACTTTGACAACCCCTAACTATTCCTTTGCTTGTAAAATGTAAACTATACTGTTACGTAAATCAGAATAGACAACTGGTATCCATCCAAGGATGAATCATTCAGAAAATAAACGTTGAGAAATGTTCCTTTGCTGCATGTAGGGGTGTTCTGCTTCGTGCTGGTGTACCTGACGCCAGGGTGTGTGGTGATCCTGGCCTACACGCTGATGGGTCGTAGACTCTGGGTGGTGCGGCCGCCGTTTGACAAGGACGAAGGAAGCGTCAGCAACCAACAGGTAAATTTTAAGAGGTAAACATAACCAAAGAAGCCCTAAAGAAGTGTATTCCGCTGAACATAACAGAAACATTGTTTACCCTACTTCTGACCCTTGCCCTCTTGGCTGCATTTCTTGTGTCAAGTGATCATGTAATTTCAAAGGGTGGAAAGACCAACGATGCTGTTCTTGGGCATGCATCTGCAGCTTCAAATTAGGTCATAGTTTTAACAAAAGCGTAGTATAGTTCAGGATACTTCACTACCTTAAATCCCAAAGGTAATGTAAAAATTCATGATTTTCGCACTCTTGTCAGAAGTTCCACCACTAAGAAATTGTTTTACATAGACTGTTATTGGGCTTGCCTCTTCAGCTTCGGGTTAGGTTAAAGCTTTGACAGGTTTAATATGATTCAGGATGGTTCATTACATTGAATACCAAAGGTAATGTAGAAACTCAAGAATTGTGCCCTTGCAATACCGTTGCTACCCGTTGCTATCATGCTGTACTGATACTGGTGTCTCAACGACGTAATCTTAATCTTATGTCTCCAGGTGCGGTTAGTAAAGGAAAGAAGAAGGGTGGCACGTATTCTGCTGCTGCTCGCAATCCTGTTCGCACTCTGTTGGCTTCCTTATAACGTCCTGTCCCTTCTGCTAGACCTGGACCTGATAATACCTACTGTAGGACTGCATCAGGTAAAACTAGTTTTTTACTCTCAAAATGTATGTAGCTTTCTTGCAGCAGTTATATCATTTAAGTTTCAAGTTCAAAGTATGATAACGCAGATGTCTTTTGATTGTCTCAATTATTTGATTCATTCCTTGTATGGATTTGGTACTGAAATGTCTTAAACGGAGTGTTATGGTGTTTTAGCATTGTCGTCTATTTTTTACTATTTTGAATTCGGACATAAGACCACGACATAAGACCATCTTCAGCAATTAAAGCTCTCTTGGTTCTTATGCTTACGATTAGCCTCCTTTAAAGCAAGGCCGCAGCGTTGGTGTGTGGCAACGTCGCACCGGCAGGTCTGTTGCGATTGTAATAACTATAACGTGCAAACATAAACAATGCGTAGACGCTCCATTGTGAATTAGTGCAACAGCTGTTTCGGTAGGCCGGCAATGCGGTGTTGCCACTTTTGTCCTACCTTATACCATAGACTTATACTAAGGAGGACAAGGCCTAGGGCGCTGTCTTCGGTCTGTCAGCTATATTGTTTTCTTTCCTAGGAAGAAGTTTATAATGATGTTAATATCCAATTTCCTAAAAGATACGAACTTGGTCACGCATTTTATAGTAAACATGATAATCTCTTTGACAGGAGACGCTTATGAAGTGGTTCCCCTTCACACTGCTGCTAGGACACGCCAACTCTGCCATCAACCCTCTCCTGTATTGCTTCATGACTCGCAACTTCCGTCGCACAGTCCGCAGTCTCTTCTGCCAGACAGGCATCTCTAGACCTCGTCCACGACAAAGGATGAAAGTAAGTTGCATTATTGAATAGAAAAAATATTGACCTTCTATTTTGGAAAACAAAGTTTTCTTTAGTCATTTCATACTAACGTGCTAATCGATGAAAGCCTAAAATATTTTTTATATATATGTATACGTTTTGAGGACCGTTACTGGCTATCACAGCCGCCTTTAATTCCAGGCCGCGGCCTTCGAAGTGGCAACGTCGCAAGTAGGGTTGTAACAGCAGATTTGTTTGGAAGCAGCTAATGGTATTTGTGTATTTACCTAACCCGCCATGTTAAACTTCCCTATCCCAAGCGTGATGTATACAACTTCCTTACTTCTCGAGTGATGTATAGTTGAAAAAAACTCACTCGGTGAGGTAATGAAACCCATTTAAATAACATTGAGTGGATAACTTAAAAAATATGCCTCTATGGAGCCAACGACGTTCAACGCTAGAAATCAGCTGTGCGCTTGAATTTTATTGTTATGTTTTGAAGAATTTTCCTAACCTAGCTTTTGTTTGTAAATGAACGTTACTGTTATAAGATGAGAGAAATTGATAGTGAAAAATATTGTTCGTAACCTCCTGTATGTTGTCGGGTCATGTAAAGTCTTGTACGTTACACGTTACGCAAGAGCGTGTTTACATCACTTAGGTAAATTATGCAACTCGCTTCCGCTCGTTGCACAACTTTCACCTGCGTGATGTAAAAACGCTCTTACTACACTTGTAAGGTAAATAGCTATTACCTAACCCGCCATGTTAAACTTCCCTATCCCAAGCGTGATGTATATAGCTTCGGTACTTCTCGAGTGATGTAAAGTTGAAAAAAATTCACTCGGTGATGTAATGAAACCCATTTAAATAACATTGAGTGCTTAACTTAAAAAATATACCTCTATGGAGCCAACGACGTTCAACGCTAGAAATCAGCTGTGCGCTTGAACTTTATTGTTATGTTTTGAAGAATTTTCCTAACCTATCTTTCGTTTGTAAATGAACGTTTCTGTTAGAAGATGAGTGAAATGGATAATGAAAAATATTGTTCGTAACCTCCTGTATATTGTTGGGTCAGGTAAAATCTTGTACGTTACACGTTACGCAAGAGCGTGTTTACATCACTTCGGTAAATTATGCAACTCGCTTCCGCTCGTTGCACAACATTCACCTGCGTGATGTAAAAACGCTCTCACTATACTTGTAAGGTAAATAGCTATTACGAAAGCTTGGTTACTTGACTATGAAAATATAAATGTACAGATATAGACTTTCAATTCATAATGTTTTGGTTTTTAATTCTGTACTATGTTTTATTTTTAATATTTAAATAAATTTATGTCCATAAATTTAAATTTAAATCAATAAAGTGCGAATTATTGAGCTGATGTCACCTGTCTGCCATGTTATCTTGTCTGACACAAAACAACCCTACTTGCGACGTTGCCAATTCTACCAGGCCACGGCCTGTAGTTAAAGGTGGCCGTGCTGGCTATACAATTAGTTGTATAATCGATGGTACTATTCATGTAAAACTAAATAACTAACTAACTATGGTAATCGTTAACTATGGCTATTTTAGTTACTACGTCACCTATTGTCATTTCCTTAAACTTCTACATGGAAATGTTGAGTTGCAAATAGCAATACAGAATTGACATTGAATGTAATAAATCAAAATCTCGAGTTTTGGTACACCCCAAAGTGTAACAGTCAAAAGTGTTGTAAACACCAATAGTTTTCTACATAAACTAGAACTAATTCATTAAGTGGTGTGAGATGGGCAAGATGTTACGGGTTGGGAGTTATCGCCGGGACGCAAACAATGTTTATAGCTGTTGTTGTGCGTTTGACGAGTGGTCTGTTATAGCCTCCATACCTGGCAGATGTATCTCCTCTCTCATGTCGTCCACCTTCCACTCAACATTTCTTAGAAGCGTATTTGTTGATAGTTTGATCAAACGATGTCCACTTAATTTAGGTAGGGCTTATACAATTTCTAATTTTTAAATGTTTGCTATCTAAAACGTATTTCATTTAATAACAGTGAGTCGGAAATTATTTTTTTCATCGTACCTATCGTACATAAAGTAGATGTACATTAAAGATGATATCAATAAAAGTAATTCTTTCTCAAGCCCCAATACGCACGCTGGTGTTTTGTTTCGAATTTACTTCCATTGTTGAAATCAGTTGTTTTTACTTTTTAACAATACAAATGTGAAAGTATATATGTATACGTTAGATTTTCTGGGATTTAGCCTATTGCATATTTATTGCACAATAATCATAACCTTAAGTTGTCGCATAGGTTTGCACCTTTTTTTTCGTTTTATATCAAAACGTTCATTATGAGGATGCACAACAATTCTGTGGCTGATTCAAAATCCCATTGCAGGAACTATGCAGTGTAAAAATAACTATCGTGAATACACCTCTTGTGCTTACCTTTTTCTAAATGTTGCCTTGAGTAGAGGCAATATGATGGTTTAACGCCACTTTAGGCACGTTTTCCCCATAAGAATAACATGGTGAGCTTTTTTTGACCACTTTTTTAAAAATCCAGCTCTCGGCCTATACAAGCCTATATAAATGTTCAATACCATTGTACAACTCCATTACTATTTCAAATCCACATCCATTCACAAAATCGTGCGAGGTTTGTATGCGAACTTGGGCGCGCTCCCCCATATAAAATGCATGCTACCCATATAAAATAATGTTAAATTTTTTTCTTACTTTTTGATTTTTTATGTTGTAATATTGTTTATAATCAAAAGTTGACACCCACTACGTTTGCCAGAATTTCAACCGTTTTGCCGTATCTCAAGCCGTTTTCGAGATATAAGCGTTTTTAGATAGTTTTACGGACTTAGACGATTTTTCATGGTAAATTTTATTTCTACCCATATAAAAAAATGTTAAATTTTTTTCTTACTTTTTGATTTTTTTATGTTGTAATATTGTTTATAATCAAAAGTTGACACCCACTACGTTTGCCAGAATTTCAACCGTTTTGCCGTATCTCAAGCCGTTTTCGAGATATAAGCGTTTTTAGATAGTTTTACGGACTTAGACGATTTTTCATGGTAAATTTTATTTCTACCCATATAAAATAATGTTAAATTTTTTTCTTATTTTTGATTTTTTTATGTTGTAATATTGTTTATAATCAAAAGTTGACACCCACTACGTTTGCCAGAATTTCAACCGTTTTGCCGTATCTCAAGCCGTTTTCGAGATATAAGCGTTTTTAGATAGTTTTACGGACTTAGACGATTTTTCATGGTAAATTTTATTTCTACCCATATAAAATAATGTTAAATTTTTTTCTTACTTTTGATTTTTTTATGTTGTAATATTGTTTATAATCAAAAGTTGACACCCACTACGTTTGCCAGAATTTCAACCGTTTTGCCGTATCTCAAGCCGTTTTCGAGATATAAGCGTTTTTAGATAGTTTTACGGACTTAGACGATTTTTCATGGTAAATTTTATTTCTACCCATATAAAATAATGTTAAATTTTTTTCTTACTTTTTGATTTTTTTATGTTGTAATATTGTTTATAATCAAAAGTTGACACCCACTACGTTTGCCAGAATTTCAACCGTTTTGCCGTATCTCAAGCCGTTTTCGAGATATAAGCGTTTTTAGATAGTTTTACGGACTTAGACGATTTTTCATGGTAAATTTTATTTCTACCCATATAAAATAATGTTAAATTTTTTTCTTACTTTTTGATTTTTTTATGTTGTAATATTGTTTATAATCAAAAGTTGACACCCACTACGTTTGCCAGAATTTCAACCGTTTTGCCGTATCTCAAGCCGTTTTCGAGATATAAGCGTTTTTAGATAGTTTTACGGACTTAGACGATTTTTCATGGTAAATTTTATTTCTACCCATATAAAATAATGTTAAATTTTTTTCTTACTTTTTGATTTTTTTATGTTGTAATATTGTTTATAATCAAAAGTTGACACCCACTACGTTTGCCAGAATTTCAACCGTTTTGCCGTATCTCAAGCCGTTTTCGAGATATAAGCGTTTTTAGATAGTTTTACGGACTTAGACGATTTTTCATGGTAAATTTTATTTCTACCCATATAAAATAATGTTAAATTTTTTTCTTACTTTTTGATTTTTTAATGTTGTAATATTGTTTATAATCAAAAGTTGACACCCACTACGTTTGCCAGAATTTCAACCGTTTTGCCGTATCTCAAGCCGTTTTCGAGATATAAGCGTTTTAGATAGTTTTACGGGCACTGCCACAAGGGTCAAGTGAAGCGGTCATGCGACTGGGGAATCCCCAGGTGGTGACGTCACTGGGGACGAGCCTATATATAGAAGTGGCATCCGGGTGATATTTCATTCTCATGCGTGATGCCGACCTGTCAACACTGCGCTGCCTCGCTCTCCAAGAAGAGCAATTTGGTCCGCCACTACAAGCTAGTACATCAAATGAAGGTGAAACTGTGCAAGGTATGTGATTTAATCTGTGATGATAATGTGGTTCTAAACTCGCATTTATTACAAAGTCATAAGAATTGTAATTTTTGTAAGAAAAATGTGGTTGGTCATTTTAAAAGACATGTCAATTCTTGTAATAATTGTCCATATACAATGATTGAATTTGTTGGTGAATCGATTAGAAATGAACTTAAAAATAATCTTCAGTCTTGTCCTCTGCCGATAAAATGGACTTTAGTAAGGAGAATTAAATTTATAAAATATTCAATGGATCAAAATGGACAATTAGTTAATGAAAAAGAATGTATTGCAGATTTTAGAAGCCTTACCACCTTAACTATTGAGAAAAGAGATTTAATACCCCAAATTGAAAATGCTCTTTTAAAGATTGACGCTTCCATGCACAAATACCAATCCCAGGGCAGTGGATGGATATATGACCATACGAAATATTGGCAGTTGCATGTTTATAAGTATAAGCCATTAACTCCAAAGTCATACATTCCCACACCAGAGAGTATTAAATCGAAACATGCAGTTTTAAATATA